CTGGCAGGGTCCGCTCTCAGAGGCCTGCAGGCACCGCTCCCAGAGGGCCAGGCCTGTGGCTGGTGGGCGCGCTGCCCTGCCCCCAGATCTCCCGTAGGCAGCCGCTGGCAGGAAGAGGGATGTGCTTGGGGGAGGGGACCGGCTGGCAGGGGGAGGGGGCCGAAAGGCCCCAGACTGTCACTCTGTTTATCTTCTAAGATGGGTCGTCTTCACCCAGGCCAGGCTGGGGATGAGGGGGAGGGCAGCGACTTATAGAGGGGAGGGGACGCCTCCCGATAGTGCCCCGGGCGGCTCCACCCTGGGCAGCTTGGGGAAGGGGGCCGGGTGGTCAGGGACGTCTTGAAGTTCTTTATCTGTGCCGTCGATCCGTGTCCACTGCCTAAGTGCCCTTTTTTGAGGACTTGAAGCACATCTGGAAGGCGAGGTACCCCTCTCCCCACCCCCATCGCGAGGGGGGTAACTCTGGGAGGCCACTTCTCTGTCATCTGGGGTGGGGTGGTGGGGCGCGAGCCCTTACGCCTAGGAATCCTGTGGGGTGAATTGCTGACTGATGTTAGATTGCTGCCCCTGGGTGGTGGGTAGCTGACAGGTAGTTAGAGTGGGGGCTGAGTTTTGAAGCTGAACTTGGGTGCTGCACTCCAGGCCCCCTATCCTTCCACCTCCAGATGAGAGATTGGTTTATTGGCTTGTGGTCCCATCTGCCAGAATCCAAATTCAGCAGACCCTCACGCTCCGGCCCTTCTGTAGTCCTGGCTCTAGGAGTGAGTGTGAATGTGTGAGCTTAAAGCCTGGTGAGTAGGGTTGCTGGAGTGGTCTGTGGGTGGGGGGGAGCCAGATGGGCTGGCCTCCTCCTTGGCCCCGAGAGACAAAGCTGAGCAGTGAGATGGGAGGAGGCTGACACGCGCTGAGCAGAGTCCCTGGGCCAGCAGCAGTTCCACAGCTTGGGTCCCCTCCTGCCTTCAGTGACCCCCCAGGTCCGGTGCCATTGAGCTATTATGAAACTCTCTGGGGCCCTTGGTATACCCAGAGAAGCTCTCCACCTGCCTGCAGGCCCTGATGACTTTCCCCTTGGCCCCTGGCTTCCTGCTGGCAGGTTTCAGGGTGTTGCCAATGTGGCTTGCCCAGCCTTCCTGGCCAGCCGTCTGCCTTAAGGGCTGGCCTGTTGGTCTGCCCGCCTGCCTGCCTGCCCGCCCAACAGTTCGCCCTGCAGTATTTTCCTGCCAGCTGTTGGGACTTGTAGCTTAGTCACTCGACTTTTACAAGCAATTCCTGAAAAGTAAAATCCCCCTCTGGTGCTGGCTGAGGCTGAGGAGTGAGGAGCGGGCAGCCTGAGGCAGCCTGGCTCTAATTAAAGCAAAGCAACCCCCCCCACCCCCCACCCCC